TTTACTTTTGCAAATGGACAGTGCAAAAAGTTTCAAAATGTGTAATCATTCAATATTCTTTCTCCAAATTGAAGAAGTTTTCAAGTCCAAAGTTCAAGATTTCAAGAATAAAAGAAAATCAAGTGTCCCAGATCTCCTTTGAGTTAATTTCTCAGAGTTAATTGAGTATAGTTCTCAAGAGAGTTGATTTAGCGGGAGATAAATCATTCTCAAGATAATTTGAGAATTTTTTTGTATTCTTTTACTATATTTATTTTTCAATCTTTATCTTTCAATTGTGTAATTCAAAGTTCATTTCAATATTTGTATTTCAAAGTTTTATATATCAATAAAATTATCTTCATTTTCAAACATTTGTCTATTTCCACTTCTACTCTTCCCCTTCTGGATCTATTTTGGTATCAGAGCCATAAGAGAGTGAGGTGAGGTTGTCGTAGTTTATCACCACAGGCACTGTTCAAATAGGAGAACCTGATTTGATTCCGGGATGTCTACTGAATAGACGTTGGTCAACCCGTTGTTAGCCGATGAATGAGTGTTAGGGTGGTCCCGTTTGTAAGCTTGGTAAGAATTAGTCTATCTTATTTAACTGTTTTTATCGTGGTAAATTGTTATAATTTAGTTGAATTTAATTATGTCCTCTTTTTCAAATTGTTTTTAGAGGCCTAGAAATAGATCTGAAAATAAATTGATATGAGCATTTTGATTTTTAATTGATAATGTTTGTTCAAAAGTTTTGATAACATAATTTTGAGTAAAATCAAACTTTCTAATTTCATAGATAGAGTTTTTTTTTCTACCTTTGGAATTGTCCAGTTATGTAATCTTTGTTCAATTTGAGCAATTTGAATTTATGACTATTGAAATCATTTGATGCATATGATGCAGATGATCGATCAATTTCCTCTTCGTTTTGAAAAACATTTGGCCCTTGTTTGGTTCTCATTCTTTCCTAATTAAAATGAAAAATATGATCGTTATCCATCACATCAAGGCGTCAAATTTGAATTTCTATCTCTTGTGTGGAGCACGTAATGACTATATTTTTCATTCTTATTCTTCCAAAAATGATAAACAAACAGGAGCTTGAAATATTTTCAAATATATTTCTAGACCTCTGAAACCAATTTGAAAAAGAGGACATGATTAAATTCAAAAAAATTATAATAATTTACCACGTTAAAAACAGTTAAATAAGATATATTGATTCTTACCAAGCCTACAACGGGACCGCCCTAACATGCCTTCCCGACTAACAAGGGACTGACCAACGTTATTAATGTTTCGTATATATTGTTGAAGACAATTTGAGCAACTTTCAAAAAACAAAATAATATTCATTATTTTGTTTAATTTTATTTATTATTTGGTCATTTTCACCAAAAATATTGTACATGTAAGATATGGTCAATAATCTAGTTTTAAAATATTATCTTTTGCTTTTCTTTTTATCTGTAAATAAATTGTGTTGATAAAAAATGTGGGTACAACTACTCCGAGTGTCCGGGGCCTATATAATTGATGTTACAATCAGTCTAATGACCCAAAACAATGAATTAAGTCAGTCAAACACAACAACTTCGTGAAGGCATTTATACTAGCTAATGCCTTTGAGCTAATCCGTCATTTGCATGACTTGGATTATGTTAAGATAGCCGGGTGCTCAATACTGCTTAAAGGGGTACTGCCGCGATACATAGTGTAAATTCCATTTCCCAATCAAGTAAAACACCAGCTGGCTATGATCTTAAATCTTCAATGTCAAAACAATGCTACTGACAGGATTCCTTGCTTGCTTCCTGCTTTGCCCAGATTTCAAAGTTCTGCCTATCTGGAATTAAGCACGTGCAGCAATATACACTCTACTCCAGTTAGCCAAAAAAAGGTAAAATGAAGAGTCCAATGCAAAATACAGGTTGGATGAGAATTTTTAAAAACTTTCAAACATGAAATACTATCTATTTTTAAGAGTCAATCCTTAAAATCATACTTCAAGTGACTTTTAAATTAGTATTTTAATTTAGAGAGTGAGTTTGACACTCCAAATTTGGAGAGCCAAGTTCACTCTCTATAATTAAATACATTCAAAGTATTTCAATTTTTAATATAGAGAAATACTATGCTCCCTCCGTCCATTTTATAGGCTAGTTTTGATTTTCACAGGATTAAAAAATATATTTTTTACTGTAATTGAAAATCAATTTTTGCCAAAAACCTTTCTAATCTACCCTTATTTATATTTATACAATTTCAAGATTAAGTAGGAAATTTTGGTTATAACTAGACAAATTAAATAAGAGTATATTAATAAATGAACAAAACAAAACATTCTTAACAAAGAAACAGGATTATATAATTAAGACAAGAATATAAGGAAAGTCAAGCTATATAAATGAGACAAAGGATTAATAATTTAGAGAAAAGCTAGTTGAAATAAAAATAGAGAAAAATGATAAATATTTTATGACAGTAGTAAAATTAAGTGTTAAATATAAAAAGTCTATTGGAGTGCTTCAAAATTTGTACTCTTTAAATTTATAGATATTCTCTAAAATAATAGAATATGCTGTTTAAAAATAAAGAATCTATCGAAAATACTCTATGATCTGAAATAGTTGGAACAGGTAGTTGAAAAATTCAAGTCAAGGATTGAATTTGAATTTTCTAGAACTTTGCCCAAAAAGGCTAAGGGCCAACAACCCGAAAATTTCTATGAAATTCTAATACATCCTAATCGGTATAGCTAATTGAAAGTCAAATTTTCAAAATAGGGGGAGAATATTCAAATGGTATGTCATCATTGGAGAGTTGAAAAATAATTTTAATGGTATGTCATCATTGGAGAGTTGAAAAATAATTTTTTCAGCCCTTCAATAATAAAATTCCATATGTACATTATAGACACTTTTATGAATACCATAATATACATGTAGAATTACCCATTGGTTAATCCTGGCACCAAGAACAACACAAGACTCTGTATGCTCATATGTGTGAAACGAGTTTTGCCAAGGCTTGAGCAAAATTCGAAGTAATTCAAGAAAACAGATGAAAGTCTATGATCTTGGAATTGAACCTTCAAGAGTTCTTTGCTTGAATCTTCAAGAGTTTCATTAAACCTTCTAGACAGTAACAAACTAACTTTAATCTCCAAGAGTTCTCACCTTTAATCATTTAAAGTATAATTATGATTATTATTATAAAATCAAATAGTGGCTTAATCATGTTAATCATGTGATTGGAGACAAGTTTAAACTTGTAACCTTCACTCTGTCCCCACAATAAATAATGCATTTAATTGTAAATAATAATCCATCTGTTTTTGTGTCCGTTGCCAGTGAGTAATTAATTGATTGTAACAGATCAAGGTTCAATATTACCATTGAATTAGAGAATAGGGGGTCTGAAAATGTCGAATCTGTAAATTCAATGATAGGTGGACAGACGTGACGCGTACTTGCCCGTTTATTTCCCGAAAGGATAATATGATGAAAGACGAACTTGTATTTTTTTTCTCTACGTTAGTCAAGGGTTTAGTTAGTTGCTTTCATTGTACTTCTCATTTTATTTCGTCCACGCTTAAACTCAACTTGATTTGATAAAAATTACTTCTGAATTAAAATAAAAAATAAAAAATAAAAAATCACAAAAAGTTAAAGGAAACTTGGGGACGATGGGGAGGTAAGAAAACTTACAGGCTAAAGGCAGCGAAGCCAGGGACGGATGGACAGCGTGAAGGGTGATTGGTAGGTTGATAGGATGGATTGTATTATTATTATTATTATTATTTTTTCATTTCCCTTTTTCGTTTATGTTTATTTTATTTAATATTTCAATGAAATTAATTGTAAGCCCATATTACTCTTTGATGTTACCAAAACTCGTACCTGGTAATTTCCTGAATTTGAGGATTTTGACTGAGTACGATCGTAGTCTTTCGATACCTAAAACAAAGGCAACGAGGTATGTTCTCGTCGCCCCTCCGATGCTTAAATCAGAAAGGGAATTATGTGCGTAAGGCTATAAACTGAAGATAATGAAAACGTACCTATCAAATGACCCATGGTCTTCTATTTATAGTAGTAAGCGATCTTCTCCTAGTGGGACTCAACTAGTTGGGTATCTCTATCTAGGGGAGCCATATTAGGTTAAGGAATTGGATCAATGCCATAATTATGCCTGTGATAGAAACATTGCAGGAGTCAAGAATTAAGTAATATGGTTAAGTTAGGGTCCCAATTACATAGGAATTCTGAAGGGTCCACAATCGTAGGCTTATGAGGAGAACATATACCCGAGGACAACTCATGCTCGTGGACATGGATCGTAAAATGTTGAAACAGCGAGGCTGGGAGTGCTCGAGCATTAGACCTCGGGAGTATACTAGAGCACTCCATGAGTTTAATTGCAGTTTATTAAAAAGTCCTTGGAATACATGATCGAGCATAACCAAACTTGCTATATCACTCTTCAACAAGCCAAACATGTGGGAATAAAGGGATTTTGTTTCTTGTGCACTTCACTAATACGTGGAAGGTAGTTTTTTGACATTGTTGCACAAGGTTGACTGAAGATTTGGTTTTCGAGAGACATTATACCAAAACTGTGTCAAGCAATTAATTAAAAATGAATTTAGATATAAGAATGGATATGAAAGTAATTGATACATAGAGATTTTTCCAATCCCCATTTAAGGCGGGGATGTGAGTCAGCGAGTGAAATGAGAATGGAGGCCCCTTAGAGAATATGCTAGGATTGAAGATACTCTCTCCTGACTCTTTTCCTAATAGGGTTCTGCCCTCTCCTTGGTGGCAACCGGTCATGACTAGAGACTGTCTTAATTAATTGAATATGCGCATAAATTTGAATAATTAATTAGTTATTATATTAATTGAGTAATCTTGAAAATATTGAAGAATAAATTTAGACCTAGATTGATACATTAATTTCTAAGATATAAAGCGTGCATGAACCTAAAGAATTAATTTGTTACAATTGAAAACTAAGAAGATAGAGATTGAATAACTTTAGAATACAATGGTTACATGATGGATAGATATTATGCAGAATTCTAAATCTGATTTGGAGATTCTCTAACATTCTGCACTTTAATTATTTCACAAAATAAGAATCCACTTAATCACTCAATGAAACCAAGTATAACCAAGCCACAGCATTATTTCACTCAGAAACATCACCAAGCACTATTTATTTCGTTACTAAGACGAAAAAGAAACACACATACTCGCATACACAAATTGAGATGGCTTAGTGAGACTTTCCTATGCATATTAGGCTGCCTTGAGATGGTGAGACTCAATATCTTTAGTAAGCTTAATGCAAACACCCAACAATGATAGTGGATCTTCTATGTCATCATTTAGCTTCTCATACGCGAAAGTCCATGTCACCAAATCGACGTCACCATTTGTTTCAACATGAAAACTGGCTGTGAAGGTCTTGTATAACTCCATCAGATCACCCTCAACGATCTTAAATGTCACAGACCTTTTTTCTTCGTCTATGGCTTCAATTACCTCTTTCGCTACTTTTTGCTTCCCCTCTACAATTATATCGAATTTAATTTCAAAGCTTAGTAGTAGAAGAATAATGTTACTTGTACATAATGGAGTTACATAATGGTTTACATATAAATGATGTATCAAAAACAGAGTGAAGAAGTTCCATATAAATGGTTTACCTTTTTTTTTTTTCTTTTTTTTTTTAATTTGTCTTACCATATCATGTGTAAGTAAACTCTTATTATCCTATTTGGTGCGGATTAAAATAATATTTTTAAGAGATTTTTTTATAGAGATTGATAAAATGTATAATTTAAAAATTCTTGGACCCATAAAATATGTAGTTGAAATGAGTTGTTGATTTTGACTTAAATTAAAATTAAAATTTTAATCAATACCAAATAGTATGTAAACTATTTTATACATGTAGCAAAACGGATAATAGAATATTACATGATTAGACAATAATACTATTACCATAGTGAATTAGAAAAGAATGGACACTATTAACTAAAATAATAAGCTAAAATATTATCGTTGTACTATTCAGTATGATCTTTTTCTATACGATTTAGCATACCGTGAGTGTAATTCCAGAAGATGATGGAGCCAACAGTTCCCCACTCTCCTTGATGCAAATCACAACGTTGGATAGTAGTAGGGCTCATGTTGGGAATTTGGTGTGGTGTGTACCTAAACAGTTCATGAAAGACATCTCCACCAGCTCTAATTTCAATTTGGGCAGTTAATTTACCTTTAAGACCCATTTTTTTTCTTTATAGTAGAGAGAATCAAAGTTTCACCAGCAAGGGGCAGGCAAGAACAAGTTGAAGTAGTGTGGAAAGAACACTCAAACTCTTAATCTATTTATAGCGACACTGGGAACATGAAAATCGATGTCAGCCTGTAATCTTTATTTATTTAATCATTATTTCTTTAATCATTATCCATAATTTACTATGGTGATATTGAAAACTATTATAACAAAATCAATATGTAGATGAATGGATCAAGTTAAAGAATTGCATGAATAATAAAATATATTAGTCTAAATATTGGAAAAATAATTGTTCTTTTATGCCTGCATAGAATACTTAATAAATCAGATTGTTAATATTTTAAGGTATTGAAAATTGTGATATCATTGTCCATAAGAAGATAATGCAAAAATATATAGAGTAACCTATGATCATATCATGATAGATATAATAATAGAACTGAAAAAACAAAGGTAACGCCAAATTGAAAATCGAATGGTGCATGTTGTGGAGATATGTGTTGTGCATCCTAAAATAAGTCTTGTTTACAAACACGATTCTAGTAAATCAAGTCAAAAGAAAGAAAAATGAATTGAAAACTTACATAATTTTTTGTAACAATCTCATTCCATAGTTTTTCACTAGGCCTCCATTTGTTTCCACAAAAAAGTCGATTAAAATTCAAGTTAAAAAGTCAATAATCAAATATAACGATGCATTACACACAAATTCCCCGAAACCTACTAAATATCTTTTAGTCTAAACCAAACAAGGGCTAAATGTGGTGAATAATGAGATAGATAGCCTAAAAGAAAGATTAATTTGTCTATCTCAAATTTCATACCAATCTGACATATTCTCACAAAAACAAAATTATATTAAACATTCTTTGTTAGGTTTTTATTGTATTTACAATTCTTTAAACAAAAGGACTAATATAAAAAGTTGTAAAAGTCAAAAAGTCAATTGGAATATTGTATAGATGAATTCGGTATTTTAGGGTTCAAGTTTGGAACAAGAAGGAAAGAATCGCCAAATTTACACAGCCTATCACTCGAGCGACACACAGGTTGCTTGCCAGTCGCTAGCCTAGCACTTGAGTGATGTTGTTACGCGTATTTCAAGAGTTTTATCTGGCCTATGCATTGTACTATAGATACCCAAGTCATAACACGATTTGAGATGTGGTTGTTCATTATATTACTTTGTCATATTACATTTATAATATTCAAGACTACATTCAAACCTTGAGATTAAGCCTTTGATTCTTGAAATCATTCAACCACAATTTTGGGAAAACATCAAATTCGCATAATCCAAGACACCAAATTCCTATACACATACAGGAATGCATTTTCTCTATAGCTTTCAGAGGTTGCTGAAGATTGAGAGATATTGGACTAGAAGTACAGGAAGAGTACAAGAACAAGATGCTCTTAGTGATCCATAAGAGATTGACAATTCCAGAAGATCGGGAACAAGTATGAGTGATGACGTTTCAATGGGTTTTGGAGATTGTAGGAATTAGATCAGCAAGTCTAGTGGGTTTTTTAGGCTGGATCATACTATAAGTTCATTATCCATAGTAGATGTTAGTGGCTTGGTTCCGAAATTTTTATTCAATTGGATTTTCTCCATCAACATATTTTGTGTTATTTATTACTTTCATATTATTAATTTTGGCATTCAAGCCATATAATAATCTGATGTGATTTATTAACCATGTAGAAATAATTAAAAAGTAACTTGTTGCTTTTAATTGTAAAATTTCGTACATTGAGTCAAAATAAATTGGTTAAATCTAAACTTTTATTCTTCATGATCGAATCGAAGTTGACTAAATTAATAATCCATTTTGGACGCTTCAATGAATTAGTTGCCTTGCAATTTCAAAGACAATAATAAATACGATGGTCTTGCAAATAAGTTATTTGAACAACTTAAAAGTAATCGCGAGCTATTTAGAAGTAGATTTCGATATGACAGTGAATAGATGTTTTCATGCACATCAACTCAATAATCTTGAACCAATTATTATATATGTACACAGATCTCACGTTAATTTATTTTAGTGCTCAATGGCCATTAGCCAGTATTATCTTCTACTTGTGGAGTATATAATTGTATTCTTGCATTGCGCGGTTGTAATAATCAAGTTAAATTGCAATTTCTATTATTAAAATACCATTAGATAGGGAATCAACTACCTCAGAGTCAGAAAATTTCAGTGAACTCCTCAATCTATGAGTATTGTAGAAACGAAATCCAACTCAATTGCCCGGACGTAAGAGAAAACTGTAATGAACTCTTCTTCTAAAATAGCAAGGATGGAGTTAGGGAACACAAAAATAAATAAACAAATAAAAATTATCTTGAGCTCATACATACCAATAAAAATCTAAATGGATACCCCCTTCCTTCTGTTAGGCGATATTTGGCATTCTCAACTCGAAAAGGTAGTTCAAGATGTAAGACTTTCCCTCACACTTATAAATTGACCACCAATCCTTTCCACAATAGAAATGAGATAATTTCAACAATCTCCCCCACATACATCGGGCCCTAGGTGGGTACAAACTCACATCTCCCGTGAATTCTTGGGCAGAGACTTGTTGATAACATAAGTATTGATATCGGTGTTGGGTAGTCTTGAGCCTTTTCAACTCCAAAAGCTAGGACAAGATGTAAGACTTTTTCTTGCACTTAAAATCTAATCATCAATCCTTTTCACAATCGATGTTGGATAACGACAACACCTTCCCCCTTCCAAGAGTTTCTTCAAATAAAAAGCCTCTCAAAAAACATTTAAAAACAAAGAGTGAATCCTTTTGTTGGAGTCTAACATTAAACACATATATGTTTCATATTTATTTGATTTCTTCCATAAGTTATTATGGCTCAATATTTTTCCTCCTTTTTTATTTATCTTATCTCTTTTATCCTCGTTTTCCTTAATTTTCTGGTCAACTAACGAAAAAAGTGATGGTTTTCACTGAAAGTCCTCCTGAAGCAATTAGATGAAAGATTTGGGATCGTAATTGCAATAAATGAGGGTAAAATTTGTAAAGATTTAAAAATTTTGGGACCTTAATTGCAATTATCAACACATAACTTTATTACCACTTACTCATGTTTCCAAACAAACAATCAATTACTGTAACATCAACTATTTTGAGCCTTGTCTCAATGTTCGACAATTGTCCATTATTTATAACGGTTATAGAAAAGTACACTGTGACAAGTCAACCAAGTTTTCGAGATCAGGACCTTTTTATCAGGACTTCTATTTGTTGAATTTCTGGACCTACTATTGTACAAATAGCATTTGCGGCTCCAGTTGGTGTCCATCTTCTCATACGCTTAAATCCAAAAATACCGGTTGAGGATCAAAAAATCACCTTACCCCGTACATCTAAAACCGTGACAATGGTATTATTAAAACTTGTTTGAACACGAATAATTCCCTTTGGTATTCTACATGTACTCTTACGTGAATCGATATATCCATTTTTGAGTGGGTGAATTGATCTAGTTCTAGATAATGAAGGGATAGATTACGTTGAGGGTAGTTATTATAGGCATCTATTGAACTATAATTAAATTCTAAATGTATCAAATTATGTATGTGTTGTATACACTTAAATTAACTCTGGTTTATAAACAAATCAAAAGAGAGGAAAAAATAAATCAAATTAAAATCACTGGATTTTCAACTAAATGCAGTGATAAATAAGGCTGAGTAGACAGCAAAGTTAGTTTTATCTCAAATTTAATACCAATATGACATAATTTCTCACGACAAATAAAAAAAATGAATAAATAAATAAATTCTTCTTCTTCTTAAAAAATTAAAGTCGACTACATTAATAATCTATTTTTTATCACTGTCTATTGGATTAGTTGGCTTGCACTTTTAAATCCAACAACTCAAAACAACAATAAGTTACTTCTCAAAATATTTGTTTAGAAATTAGATTTCAATATTGCAATGAATGCTTTCGTACACGCCAGCTCAACTATGCTCTGCCAATTATTATAGAGTGCAAGATAGTTACAGGAACAGCCTCACTGAATGGTTTGTTTACACGTATACGCTTAACAACATTTTACGTGCAACAAAAAACAGTAAAACAAAATGTTTTCAATTCATCCCTGGAAATAAGTCCTGTCATCCAGCCTGTTTGATTAGTTTAATTCTACAAAATAATGCATTATTCACTATTATATATGTAACCCTCGTGAATGAAGTTTTAATAGCCACTAGTAAGTAATATCTTCTACTTATGGAAATGGTATACTGTTGGATGGCGATAATCACTTAATTAAAGTAAATAAATATGTTTCTTTGTAGCACTCTCATATCCAATTCTTTACTCTATATCTGTATTATTAAATAGACATGTTACCCCTACACGTCTTACTTTTTAAGTAATGAAGTCAATTTTTACTAGACATATTTATTAAATAATTATATTCGACTATTTATAAGTACATGAATTGGTACAATTTAAACAAAATTTGTTTGCTGTCCGATTGATTCATTGATATGTGTTGAGTTGAGGATTTCGTTCAATAATTCAAACCCATTCTGTGTTTGGACCATATTGTCCAAAAGTGAGGATTCTCAATTACCACATCCATTGCTTGTAGTTCACACATGCAAAACTGGTTTTGTGATATGTGAAATATATGTGGATTATTTATTATCAATACTTGATTTTCATCAAAATGCAGTACTGAATTAGGAGTAGCAGCCAAAAAAAGAAAAATTAATACTACTAAACACTGTTTCTCCTATTTATATTATAGATTAGATCATTAAGGTATACAACAAACATAAATAAATAAATCATTGTTAAATTTTTTTTTTCTAAAATTCATTTTTTTCTAAAATTCATGTTCAATAACGCATTTCATGGAACCTACAATTTTTATCAATTCTTCAACAACATATCTCATCAATTTTTATCTAAATCTACTAAAATTTAATCTTAGTTAAATCATACAGGACTGAACTTTTTTTTGAATAGAATTAAAGTCGACTACATTAATAAACTATTTTGAAAACTTTTAAATAATAACTAGTTTCACCATCAAATACAATAATTGATATATTTGTCTATAAAATATACATTGATTTTCATTCTTTCTTCATCCTTCCCTTTTTTCTTTTTTCTTTTTTTTTTTTCCCTTTTTTTCTTTTTTCGGTTATATTTTCAATTAAGTTTGGCTTTTTAAATAAATTTCTAAAAATTAATCCGAAAGATTAAAGACTTAAAACTCATAAATAAAAGTTTGGAGGGATATTTTCTCTAGCTAAAGGTTTTGAACTTTCAGTCACGTTTTATTTTAATTTAATTATTGAGCCCCCTAACTTTATCTGTCGATATAATGTCTCCATCTGACCCACAAAGCCTCGAAGAATTATGAGTATAATATAAATGCACTTTTACTTTGGAAGACAGGATGGGGAATATTTGCACTTTCCACTATTTCATAATTCATGTGATCATGCCATACTCATTTTAAATGTAATAAACGACTACCGTAGTCATTTTATGTGCCAACTTGTCGTTTAAGACGTCAATTTTCTATAATTATGTTATCTCAAATTAATAACTAGTTAATGTCTCAAATAATAATCTGTCACATAAGATAACTACTATAATCGCTAACGATGAAAAGCATTACCCAATTATTTAAGGGTAATTATATATATTTACACTCTGTTTTTGTTTCATGTACAATATTTTAATTACAATTAAGGTTTTCAACCTTTGATCATTGTCGCACTCATTTTCTTGATTTTTTCCTACACATTCTTTTTATTAACCTTCAATTAATTAGTACATTTTATTTTTTATGATTGTTTCTGTCAAAATATTCTATTAGCAAGTTTTAAAATGAAAAAAAAATAATTGATCGAACTTTTGGACTACAACTATCATCAAAAGAAATGATGTTCTAATTAATGAAATACTTAGGATAAAAATGATATGAGAAAAGGGCATAAGTGCACTAATGAAAAAAGAAAATAAATTGAAGAAATTCATTTCAGTTAAAATGGTCCAACAAAACATAATCCTTGTGTGAACTTCATTTAATTATGCTTTACAAATGGGTTGTACAAAGCTTACATGTCCATGTGCTAAGAAAACTTCCATAGTTGCTAAACGTATTATACATTTTATTTAATTAGAAAATAATCTTCTATAATAGGTTACATGCCCATTTAGAATCTATAAAATTAGAGAGAGAATAAAAAATCATCATTTAAAATTCAATCTTTAAATAAAGTCTCATAGAATATTTAGCATTCGGGAGAAGATAAAACTTGACATGACACTAGAAAATTGTTATATATATCTTTTTTATTTTATTTTGTCTAATAATATTATTTGATGTAAAAAAATTTGTACCATCTGATATCGATCATGGATTGGGACAGGTTCAACAATCTGGCATCAATGAAATGTTTCCTTAAGTCCCTGATTAGATGAAATAAAGGCGTAGATTGTTGACCACATAGTCGATTAGATGGCTAAGTCGTTATTAGAAGTAATATACCTATGTAATCAGTAAAATAATAGTCCTGCACCTTCAATGAAGGGATGACGGTCATATTTATATAAAAAGGAGCCATTGTTTGATTAGAACACACATGGTAGAATAGGAAAGTATAGTTTTACTTTCCGTATGACTCGATTAAGCCCAATTTGGATAAGATTCTTTCCAAATAATGTAATCTCATTTAATTAGAATCAAACTAGTTGATCGAGAGTTGGACTCGTGGTTTGTGATCTCACCATATCATTTTTATCATCATCATAAGTTCCTGCAACTGACACCAACTTTTGGGCTTAGGTTGCAAATATCATCTTTCAAGTGTGCATATCGTGACAATGATGTTAGAGGAGCAAATTAAGTTCTAGGAGCAGCTTGATTTCATGAGGGAGGTGATTGCGGATGATTGGCTACAGTAAGATCTTCATCGCGTTTGTCATCTGAATACTGATTTAGTGGAATATCTTCTAGAAATTTCAATTCACAATGATGTCAGGTAATTGTAACAATTTCTTATTGAACCGGTCTAGAACGAAACTTTGGATAATCCATTGTATTCCAGTTTGTGAAATCCTTTTTTTTTTTTCTTTTTTTTTTTTGGGAGGGGGGTCTTTTGAAATTGAAAGTGATTTTAATCCAGTGACATAATTTTCATAGTCTGTTTCACTAATTGCTGTAATTTTACTGATATGGGCCATTTGAAATTTAACTAATATATGCATGTAAGTTCTGTTATGTATAGATTCCCACTTTGTTGCATGCAGAAATATGTGTAGAATTTGTATGACAATGCCACAACTCATTTATGAATGTATTAACCAATCAATGTAATATAGTTGATGTTGTTCATCTCTGAATAATTTAGTAGCGTCATGACTGGAAAATTAGGTCGGTCACCACTTGTTCGATATGGTTACGTGATATATTGATTTACAAGCAATTAAAGAAAAAAGCAAAATCTGATCCAATTTATCGAAATCTATTAGTTAATATGTTGGTTAACTATATTCTGAAATGCAAAAAAAAAATAATAATAATAATAAAAAATAAAAAATTCATTGACTTTGTTTTATTTTCTGATGCTTAATCTTCCCCTCATATAACACCATGACCTGTGTGTGACATACGTGACTATGATAAAACATACATAGTTGTTCTTTATGGAGCTATTTACCCGTGTTCCATTCAAATGGTGATATGTATTCCATTTTTTTTCTTTGACGTAGTAGATGACTATGTGAACATGTTCATAATGTTCAAATCAAGTACATTTGGACTGCTCATACCTAGTGGATTCAAGTAGGTGGAGCTAGTTGATATTATATACATTGAGATGAAGATTGATTGCGGAACTTGTCACTTGAAAATCGAATATGAAGTAGACGGAAATCTGTTCCTGGTTAGGATTACAAATGACACATCGCTCCTTTTCTACATAGAGCTAAAGAGGAAGGATCCATGTTTCTCCGCTTATGCACTACGTGTTAAATTATGTTTTATCGAACATCTTCTACAATTTTGATTTATTGTTTATGGATAAGCTTTTTATCACATTTTACCGCACTCTTTTGTGAGACGGTAAGGCATTGGAATTTGGAGCAATGTTGACTTTGTACCTAGTTGCTCAATGGACTATGGTAAAAGCTGTATCTTGTTGCCTTTCTTGTTTAGGATTTTGTGTAAGATGAGCTTTTAGCTCTTGATTTTTGGCTTAAAATGCTTTTAGCCGAACGTTTAGCCAAAGTTACATTCGAGACAAAACATTTTCTAGACTGTTGAACCTAATTCCAATAAGAATATATGCATTCAAACTGAAAATCAAATGTTCGAAAACAACAAAAATTGTAATCCCATATAGAAAATAGTAAACAAAAAGACATTCTCAAAGACAACTCTTCAAACATGATTTTGAAAATCAAAAGAAACAAAGAAATGGATGTAGAAAAGGCCATAAATTGATTGTTCCCAATGAAGTATGATAAAAAAATCACGAGAATCTTACTAGTTCTATTTAACTTTTTGTAATCTTTATAATGATGCAAATATTCCTTAACATTAGAACAATCACCATTAATAAAAAGAGATACATTCCCTCTCGAGTTTGATATTGCACTCTGGATGATACATGTTATACATATATGTGCAAGTACTATCTCGAAAATGAGAGAATTCGAATATACATGGCTTTCCCACTTCCACCTACACTCCACAATCACCTCGGGTGGTGCAACAGTGGCTGATGGAAAGATTGTAGACTTCGACTGAAAGTCAATGATGTCCTTTATCCTCTCATCGCTCAGTCCCAAAGCTTTTGCAAGTTCTGTCCCTCTTAGTATTTGCGAAATAGAGTTTGCTCCAAAAAGAATTGAGGCTTGTTATCGCAGGGTGACGTGGAAAAGCCAAAGAACTCAAAACGGCTAGTTTGTGGTGCATTTTGGCATAATGGGAAATAACACAAGATAAAGAACATGTCCTTTTCCTTTACTTCAGAATTCAATGCTAGACTTCCATTAGGATACACAACTTGAATTGTACTAACTGCCTTTAAACACAACTCCTTAACTTGTTGCTGTGGGATTGTCATCATTGATCCCTACATCGAACAAACAACATAATGGTAAGAAATCACATGACTGTAGTATTACAACACACGATATGTTTCTTCTTCCAAGAGTTCATCAACATGAATTCTTTTCTCCAAGCCACAACGCTTTTCAGAATCGACATAGCTTCTTTGACCTTCAAATTTCTGACTCTTGAGGAAATTGAGGAGAATTACATCGCTTATTTCGTCGGCCAAAAAGGGGATTCCCAGATGGAAACTTCTTCTGGTCGTGGTGATGGAGGTGTTTCTTGGACTGCTTCCATGACGTAGCGGAATATTATAGGGAAGATGAACAATCACAAAATGAGAAAACTTTCAAGGAAAATTTTATTGAATTCAAGAAATATAAAAAAAACCTAGCCTTAAAAATAGGGAAGATGAACAATCACAAAAGGGCTTACAATGCCATAAATATAAAAAAACCTAGCAAAATTCGGAAAATAGAATAAAAAGATATTTTTTCAAAAACAGAAAAATATGAGATAACTACTAAGATGAAAAATCATTATCATCAGAATCATCCTCCAACAAACGGAATATAAATCCGAATTTTATGGAAAAAGATATTGCAAAAACAAAAATTACTATAAATAGTAAAAACGCCTAAACGATGGATTTTGCCCAAAATTGGCCTTGCATCAAGGCCAAAGGCGCTGAGTTTTATTCATTAGCTCGATTCCGATCGTATTAGACTAGCAATTCATCAAAAACGAATCAACTCGAAGTTATCATGAAATCAAAAAAATATTATTTTGCTTTGTGACGGTCCCATTTCATCATAAACTTTAATTCCTTATGCACTTCATCATTCCACCTCATTAGGCTACTCCTCCTCCCTCGGAGGGTGCATTCTTCACCAACAATTCTTTCTTCATGGATGACGGGGACGGAATTACGGAAACTTGGGGGACAGAGTGCATAAATTTGTCGAAGGCGATTTTGTAGGTGATTGAATGACCAGAGAATTAGGGATTGGTAGCAATAATTGTGGGTCTATGATATGGACGGTTTGGTTGAGAAATTGACGCCATCTAATTTGATGTTAATTATTTGGAGTGAGGTTATTTTTTAGATTTTATTTTTACTTTAATATTGCAGTATTATTTGAAATAAAAATGTTGAATAGTAAAATTTGAATATTTTATTAAAATGGTGGAGTGAGATACGTTCATTTTGATGGAATATCTGACACCTACAATTCGGTCCATTTCACAATGATGAAACAATAATGTTATTTTTGTGACATATATTGTGGACATGTGTTCATATTTGAGGCGTACCCTAATTAATTAACGCAAAAAAGTATTGGTTTTTGAATTACGCCAAAGGTAGTGTAGTCGATGTCATAAGAACAACTTCAATGCATTTTATAGATAATTATCAAAATAATATACAAGTTGAAAGACTTTTGGGTTTTGATTATATATATACCTCTACTATCTTTTATTGGAGCCAAGAAAATTGTTTAAACATTTATGAAAAAGTTAAAAATCTAAATTTGGAATCAAATAAACTTGGACAAGATGATACCTTTCCCATGAGAATTGTCCACCATCAAAACTCTACAAACATAAAATAGTGATGGTCAAACATTGTTAGACTCCATATAGTCTATTTGTTGAAATCAAAAAAATCAAAAATAAAAAATTTATATTTTGTAGAAATTATGCAAAAATAGAGCTAAAAAGAAATAAATCTGGTGCTTTTGTTTAATCGTCTGGATATGCTTTGAATAAATTATGGAAGATGAAACACATCAACTTACCGTGCTTTAAAAACAATCAATTTTCTAAATGAAAGGGAAATGAAAGTAATGATTGTAATTTCAATAATATTGAATAGTATATGTTATAAAGTTATTTAAATTCTAATAATAATTGAAGGATGAAAGAGGATTATACAAAACCAATGAGGGTATTTTGTCACTCAAAAATTTCTCCTCAATCCTTCCTCTTAAATTGTAGATTATTTATATATTAATTAATTGATCATTATGATGATCCAACAACATTTCCAATTTCCACAAGGTGAACTTTTATTGTTAATAGCTATTAAGAACTAAATTACATTCACATGAATTATTTGGAGATATATAGTAATTGATTGATGATATTTGAGCTACTGTGTGTACGAAATTTCGGTTGATACATATCGTAATCTACTTTCTAAATAATTGTTTTAATTAATAGAAAGTAATGCAGATAGTTGAGAGTAGTTTAGTCTTTGCCTACTATTGGATATTAAGACCTGAATTACATTCACGTGAATTCTTTAAAGGCATAATAATTAGGAGGATATGTGAAATGGTGTGTACGAAACTATCTATTGATTGCCATATTGTAACCTACATTTTTTTTTTTTGTTTAATCATAATGTAATCTACTTTTTAAATGAATATTATCTAGTTAAAAAATAATAAACTTAGATTGCTCTTTCCTTTAAGTTTAGACTCTTTTTAATTTCACTCATTTAACTAGAATAATATCACTTTCATGAAAAAGAGTTTATTTAAGAGTGCACAACATGGATTATTTGATTTTCACCTTTCATCACGTCTACTTGTTAGTTTGTATTTACGATTGTTGTTTTTATCTATTACAGCATGATCACAATAATGTTTAAAATTTTATTTTTGCTATACTTTCTTTTGAAATTCTAGATTTTAGCAACACAAAAATATTAATTCTAGTTGCCATTTACTCTCTCTTTCTAATCGTTATCAAAGTCCAAAAGGGACTATAAATTTCTTCCTAGAGTCAATGATGTACGGACTAAGTATCTTCTCAATAACTAGAAATTCGTGAAGAGTTCCTATGACACGGTTCTGGCTTCCAACCATAAAAGAAGTCAATATACTGCAGTTGAGTAGTTGAGCTTAGATATGAAATTTCATTTAATAAGCTAAAAAAGTTGTATCTTTATTATAAAGGATTGCATATATGTTGATCCTCATCTTAATCTTGACATGATATTAAACAGTGCTTTTTCTTATTATGTGAAACTTATTTTATTTTTCATTGATAACACATAATGATTGACCATTGTAAAATTGTAAAAATCGCAGTTATAGATAATAATTGAACAATGGCAGATCTACATCTTCACAACACAGCTATATATAGATTAGAGAGTTCTGAATGCTCTTCACACAGTACTTGAACTTGTTCTTCCCAAAACGTTCATTAAGCTTTTCACGAATGAAAAAATGGGTCTTAAGGGTAAACTCACTGCCCAAATAGAAATGAGGGCTGGAGGAGATGTATTTCATGATCTTTTTAGGTACACACCACACCACACCAAATACCCAAAATCAGCCCTACTACTATTCAAGGATGTGATTTGCATCAAGGAGAATGGAGATCTGTAGGCTCTGTTTACACCTAGAAGTACACTCATAGTAAGCATACAGTGTTAAATTATAATAATTATCGCACATATAACTCCAGAAATAAAAGAAAAATGAGTCACTCAACCCTCTTTTTTCTACTGTACGGATAAATATTGTCATATTTTTTTCTCATCGAAGGTTGACATCTGGGTCATTTTTAGTGCCATGAAACTTAAATTTAGGATTTTTTTTTCCCAATATTATATTGAACATTAAAAGTAACACTCATATCTGGATCATGTTGTGAAAGACAATATAGGCTGGTATTTGTCTCAATTTGAACCAATTATTTCCTAAATAATATTTGTTTAGCAAAGCACTTATGTGGTGAAAATAATAGAATAAAGGTTTGTTGGAAAATTAATCAACACCGGGGTTGGAGAAGAAACCAAAAAATAGTAATTCGAGAAGATGAAAGATGAACAAGAAGATCAAACCAATATGAAGGCTCAAACACGAAAATAATCTCGCTGTCCTCGAACGATATTTGCCCCCTTTTCGGATTATACGAGATGCTTCAAGGGTTTTACGGCAAATGGTTCGTAGGATTGATCAGGCCTTGTTGCAGAAAAACACTAAAGCATAAATGGTTTTCTACCCAAACTTGAAGAGCATAAGAGGGAATTGCTTGAATATAGAAATAGAAAGAATGTTTTCTTGTGGAATGTAAAATCAGTTTCTCATATGATTTTTCAATAATATGTATTGATCCTTTAACACTTATTTATAGATGTCAATCAATACCTCACGAATTGGTGCCAAAAGTCATGAAGAGATGCAAGATTCCCTCTAAAAGCCACCAAAAAACTAACTAAAAATGGCCTCCAACGGTCACTTTAAATGTACCATGCGACCACCCCCCGGGTGATGGCCATGCGACCGTATGGCCAAATGATCTATGCGGTCACATGGACAAAATTTGGGCTCCATTTTGTTTTGTTCGTTCCATTCCACACATGTTTATTGATTTTTGAACAACATATTTCCAACAATCCCCCACTTGTTCAAAATTTCAATAAATTCTCATATTCAAAGTATATAATACTCATGCGTAAGGATTAGATATCTTTCCATTTGACTCTAATCATAGTGCAATCCAATCAAATAAAGTCAGAATCTAAAGGTAACATGAAGCTTTGAACCAATTGTTCCAAGTGACAATATCGGTTCGAACACACACACGAGTACCACGTGTTTTCAAGTTCCTCATAACTCGCTTAGTGTTATTATGACCTTGCACTCATCCTATTCAACAAACTTTTAAGAGAGAAACTACAACTCTCAATTGAGGCTGCAGCACCTAAAAGTTTGTTTAGGTGAAGTTCTTTTAGTACCTTTGTTACTTTTAGAGGTACTTGTGTTTTAGCACTGAACTTCATTAAGAGCTTTAATGCTCAACCCTCACTTCAATATCAACCAGCATTATTTTAATTAGGATAGGGTTATCGCGGATTTTAATAATGCTACAATCATCTACATATCGAATGACTTGTTGTTACCCTTTGAACCCGTATATTACCTTTTGAGTAATGACAGGTAGGGTTGCCATCATTGGTGGACGTTTTTAGTTTAGGAATTTCAACCCCATTCTACTCAGATTAGATGCTACTAAAATTTTTTTTTTTAGTAGTCTACTTAAAGGATCCGCTAAATTCTCTTCAAAAATTATTCCATCTATGATAATTTCATAGTGACGTCACCTCTAAGGCTTATATGTCTTTACATTTCATTTAGTGTGACTTAGTATCTTGTTAGATTATAGCTAGCCAACGATCGATTCATTTGATAGATACAACTTGTCATCACCAAGAATTCTCTTTTTATGAAACCACAAACTTCTCACTTGCTTTATTTAAAGCTTTATATATTTTCCAAAACAACGTTGGAAGATTTTTATCAACCATTACACTAATCAATCACTTTAAAAAATTTGTGGATTTCGTACTTGGGTATTCCGTTTTCATCATTGAAATATTACAATGATCTTCAATGAATATTTTTTAAATATTTCATTGGTTTTGTAAGCGCCATGACCGGCTTTTACCCAATTCTTCCACTTAGACTCAGTGTATCACATCCTTATAATTATATTATTAAGGGCTTCTCAACCTTTCTCCTTTTATAGATCTCTGTCTATGATTAAAAGGTTTAGGGAACTTTAACTTGTATATTAAGTTACCCCCACAATTCTTCAATTAGAATTCTTATGCAATATATTAGTATTGTGTTCACAAATTTTTTAATTTCTCATATAAGTTCACTAGCATTTAATATAAACCCCCATATTTTGGGTTATTTTAGAGCTTATCAACATAACAGCCCCCATATTTGAAATTATACTTGAACTTAGAGTTCATAAACTCTTTTCATAGTTCAATTCATTTATCACTTTGATAATACCCGTGAAAGTTTAAGTATTTCAAATAATGATTGTTAAGTCAATGTGCTTTATTCTATTATCTTGGATTTGATCATACAATTTGATCATGGCCATCTCGTAGACTGTTAATGCTTTTCAAGCACAAACCAATTCAATTGGTTCCGTGATTAAAGTCCAATTCAACAACGAGTGAGACTAAGTGTATTAATCTCCAATCGTTTTCAATTTATCACTTTCATGAACTTCACAAGATAGCATTATATCACCTCAAATGATAAGGTACATATTCACCTTATTCATATTTGGACAAAATCACATTTTGTCATACTCATTTGCAATCTCACTCAATTGCACAGAATTAATTTAGGCAAATTAATTGAAGCTATCAATTCTACTAAATATGAAAATTTAACCAACTAAATCACCACATTCAAACTTTTCCAGATTTGAATGAAAAGGATATTCGGCACCACCGCCAACTATCGACACAATTTGTGCTCTATAAAATATTTTCATGTCTTAATAATTTCGCAAGTACTTTCCACTAGAACAAATCACAACTTGTTATACTTTTATGCAAATATAATTGGCATAAAATCATCTCATTAATACCATATGATTAAATGAGGCTATCGACATTAACCCAAGTTAGTCAAGACATGAAGTCAATCAACAAATAGTTGGCATTTTTCAATACTACTATCTTGTGCATATGAACCATTCCCAATAATTCGATAAGCAATTTTCAATTTAAAATAATTTGTTATCAAAATATTGCACATTTGACCATATGATGGACACTAAAACAAGCATCCTCAAGTGAGCACCATCAATTCAAATATACATATAAATAACTTTTGTGCAAATAGGTACCTCATTAATGCACACCATTTAACGGGTTTTGATAGATGGTACAATTCAATTCTCTAATGGCTTTCAATCCCAAAGGAACTGACAACCAAAATAATGCAAACAGAAACTATTTCATGCCAAGCAATTTCATTTATTTGTATAATGGAATTTACCAAATCTCCATTATGCATGCAACGTGAAAAGACGCCATTTAAATGACAGCCATCATTAAAATGGAATTGATGACTTGGCCAGTTCACCATACGGTTATCAAGCCTATCATGTGCCCGTAATCATGAACCCACTTTCACGTATAATACCATCCATGGTAACAACAATTCAGGATCTTTGCCTTTAATGGAATCACATCATTTCGGTACCAAATTTAAGAAATTAGACTTCAACAGTTGCCCATTTAAATTCTGTACATACTCCAATTCAATTAGATAGGAAATACAAATGCAATCTGACTTTCAAGTATGTTCATGGAATATCAACAGATTTATGCAAAGATCAGTATATGCATTAGAAATCAAATATTTCCATGCCAAATAGATCTCGTTTCCACAATTGATTTATAATTTAAAATGAAAGGTCACCATTTAATAAACTGGACCACATGTATTTGTCTAAAAATCAGCCACTTTCATGTTTTTGACTAATTATGAGAAGATGTTGGCAGCCATACATAGTGCCATTATTAAACAATTATTAAATTATATCAATCCATATAATGCTTCTCAGATATTTCCCACACATTGCAGTTCCTCCATTTGACCAAACAAACATTCAATGAAGAAGATAATTTAAATGGAACATATAAGCATTATCAAAGTCGGCAAACAGAACTGTGCAAACGGACTTTACAAATCATTTTTCAAATAGATACTTATAGATAATCACATGCATTTTCTCTTTCTTTTCACACATTGCTAACAAAGAGTTCGTATATTATGTATCTTTGATCATGTTTGATTACAGTAATTAATCAATTCCTTCCATTTCCTTCGAAGACGGATAACCACATGCCGTTTCATACATCACGACAGATAATTCATGATCATCATTTCAGAAATTTATGAACTGCTAAGAAATTTCTTGCCTTAAATAATAAATGCAGAAACATTGTCTGTGAATTAAAATTATCAAAGCACATTTAATTTAATTGACGACACCACTTTACATGTATGGCAGTATTCATGCCTTTTCACAGATGAAGACAGATAAGTGCATGCAATTCCAAAAAGGTCACACCTTTCCATGGATGTAAACGAAAATTTCTATTCCTTATCATATTTAAGAAAACAAAGTTCTATAATGCACATCATGATATGGAGAAAACGTTAACTTTAATTTTATTATTATTTAAATTCTACTAACACATTGGTTGAATTACACAACACAATTTGGGAATTCATCAGGCAACCAAAACATACAATATAACATATGCCATAATCGTGAGTACACAAAACCAATTATAAATTTGCGGATTTATGTACTTCATAAATTCCCAAAATGTCAAGCATATGGGTTGCACATTATAATTTTCGAGAACGTAAATCCCATGTATGCGTGATATCGAAACACAATTTTGACTTACCGAATTTGGATAAGGTGAAATGATAATTACGAGGCCCAAACCATGAATCTGGACTCATTATCTTCCATTATCGAGTGAAAGCATGTCTTTCTTCAAGTCGAACCTTACTGTGCAATTAGTGCCATCAAACGGTCCACACGAACACGATCTTAATCCATCAACTTGATCATCGCCGAAGCGGTTTCGTTCTCCATCACAAATTATCGGTCGAGATTGTTGAAAAATTAATCAACACCGCGGTTGAAGAAGAAATCAAAAAATAGTAATTCGAGAAGTTGAAAGATGAACAAGAAGATCAAACCAATATGAAGGCTCAAATACGAAAATAATCTTGCTGCCCTCGAATGATATTTGCCCCCTCTCCGGATTCTACGAAATACTTCAAGGGTTTTACGAAAAATGGTCCGTAGGATTGATCAAACTTTGTTGCAGAAAAGCACTAAAGCATAAATGGTTTTCTACCCGAGCTTGAAGAACACAAGAGGGAATTGCTTGAATATGGAAATAGAAAGAATGTTTTCTTGTGGAATGTAAATTTAGTTTCTCATATAATTTTTCAATAATATGTATTGATCCTTCAACACCTATTTATAGATGTCAATCAATACCTCACAAATTGGTGCCAAAAGTCATGAAGAGATGCAAGATTCCCTCTAAAAGCCACCAAAAAACTAACTAAAAATGGTCTCCAACAGTCACTTTAAATGTACCATGCAACCGCATGGTTTACCTTGCGACCATCCCCAAATTCTCGAGTGATGGCAATGGTCTATGCGGTCGCATGGACCAAAATTTGGGTCTCCATTTTGTTTTGTTCATTCCATTCCACATATGTTTATTGATTTTTGAACAACATATTTCCAACAAGGTTTTCAATGACAAATCAACAAGTTTCACATGTAAGTTACATCGTATGTGCAATCAAGATTCGAAAACTATGGATTCAAAGCTTTCTTTTATATTAAGTTTACAATAATTTGAATAACTGTAGATGGGAAACCGCAAATAGCAGAAGAGGTTATTGAAGCCATAGACGAGGAAAAGAGGTCAGTGACTTTCAAGTTGATTGAAGGAGATCTCCAAGAGGTATTAAAGGACTTCAAAGTCAGTTTCCATGTTGAAACTGATGGTGACACTGATTTGATAACATGGACTCTTGAGTACAAGAAATTAAACGACGACGTTGAAGATCCACTCACTTTGTTGGGACTTTGCATTAAACTTGCAAAAGATATTGAATCTCACCATCTTAAGGCACCCTGATCTGGATAGTTTCTCAGTTTGCATCAGATGGAGAGACAACTGTGCGTGTGTATTGTTCACAAAATTATTTCTTTCGATTTAAAGCCCACCACAAGTGTACGGTTCGTTAACAAGTAGTAAAATGGATTATGAGTCCAAGTATCGATCCCACAAGGATTGGATTAGTTCAAATCAACCTATTATGTCCTTAACCGGAACACGAAAGTAAGGTGTATGTGTTGTGATTTAACAAATGAAGATGTGAACTATGATGCAATTATGAGTGAGAAACTTATAATAAATGCAAAATGACCTGGATGCAATCTACAAGAATTTACAGAATTAATGAATTACTAACGTACTAGGATCACAAATTCCCAAGCAACATCCGCTCAACTTTTAATCATGCAAATTTGACACACAGTCCGACAATTGATGAATCAATATTCCTATCTTAATTTAGCAATCTCTCTCGAGTAATGCCAAACCTACCCCAATATGTAATTCGACTATATCTTTATAAGGAATACTAACATACAGGAATGCATTATGATTTCATGAATATTCAACAATTCACACGAGGCATAGATGTATATTTCTATCCCCTATCGGACCCTGCGATGATTTATACTATGTCGAGTCTATTTTTCTTCTCTCGAATGCATAAAACAGGTCACCAAAATCATATAATTACGTGCACAATAATAATATGGAAATAAAAACGTATAAATCATTCAATTTCGGAACATGTGTTTAAATATGTCAAATCTCCAAATCAAAAATCAAAACTTGTATTGCAAGGTTCATCGATCTCCTAGTACATGAAAAACTAGCCTAACATACTAAAAAGAAGAAAATACAAAAATAGTTTAAGAAACGTTATTACCCGAATTAAGTTTCAATCAATTCTTCAATTGGCGTTGTTCGCTAAAATCCTACACCGCAAGTGCACGGGTCGCGTTCAAGTAATAAAGTGGACCTTTTGAGTCCAAGTATCGTCCCACAGAGATTGTATTAGTTTAAATTTAAATTATCTACGCCTTAACCGAAACAATAGAAATTTTTCGCTAACTAAATTATAATTTAATAACCAACTTATAAATATAAAGTCTAAATTAACTAAATTAAATGCGTGATTATAACTAAATGCAAATTTTATAAAAACATGATAACGAAATGCGTACTAGGATCCTGAATCCCCTTATATCAATCCCCTTTAATCCGAATTTTATAAAATTGACAACACGATTCAATTATGAAGATCAATATTCCTAATTTGTTTAACAATCTCTTTCGAGTAGAATTAAACATATTTTCACATACGATCCGACTATATTTCTATGATGGATGCGAACAATTAAAAATGCATTAAAGATTTATGAATACTTAAAGATTACGTAAAGCATAGCGGTATATTTCTATCTCCTATCGGACTTTACGACAATTAACATAATGTCTAACTTATTTTCTATCTCTCGAGAGTAAAACAAGCCACAAATCTCATACAAATATTGCGCCTATAATTGTAGAGAAAATAAAATCCATGCCAATCATTCAATAATTAAAAACATGTTTTAACGTCAAATAAATAAAATTCAAGATTAAGGGTTCATAATATAAGGTTCATCGTAAATCCTAGCATGAAAAGATCTAGCCTAACATAACGGATAAATTAAATAAATAAAAGTGGAATGACATCACCAATAATTGACGAAACGTGGTCAACATCCAAATTCCTTTTACAAAGAAATCTGAAATTATTCCTTCAGCAACCTTCTGTCCATCTCCAATTCTATGCGTGAATATATATATATAATCTTCCAAATCAGCCGCCCACTTTTGTATTTCAATTCCAGCTGCTGATCTCTCAAGTCGTTTTGTATATGATATACACAATTCAGCATTTCAATTTCTTTAATTCCAGCCGCCTTTTTGTGCATATAATATTCCAATTCCCAGCTCCTTGCTATGGCTTTCTGTGGGTGTGTCTATATATAATTCAACTTTTGCAACCCACTTAATTCACTCCCAGCTGCTGGCCGACAATATCAATTCAACCGCTTAATCTCTCGACTTTTTCTATATGAATATCTACAATTAATTCTCAGCCCAAGTTTTAATTCCTCAAAGCAGCTGGCCGAATTTTCTCTTCTTTTTCTGCCGTCTAATATCTTTATTGAGCCCCCAGCCTTTGTGCGTGTATCTCCCCGTTTTCTCTCGGCTGCATGTGTATATATACATCAACAATAAAATCCTTGTTCTGTATACAAATTAGGATCCCAAGTCCAAAAAGTTTTGTGTACTCAATTCTTTCGTATAATGCAAGTTAGTCCTTCTCTTCATTTTCTCCTCAATTTTGATCCTCCATCTTTTATTCCGCGAGATTTTGTCCACAAACTCAATGTAATAGCCAACTGATTATTTTTTTTTCCAATTGCCTCAAAACGGGTCCATAATTGAAAACAAAAGAAAATTAACACAAATTAGGTAAAAATTAATAATTTGACGACATAAAAACCTAGTTATGTAGTCTGAATAAGTGCATAAAATGCACTTATCAGGCGCAATGTTTTCCTCTTGTTCTGTCTTCGTTTTCTCCTTCAAAATCTCTCTTTTTTCTTGTAAAATCAGCGTCCCCTTCATTCTGGATGTCTTTTGGTATTTATATTGCGTGAAAATTTTGTTACCAAAAGAGTTTCAATCGTACATGGAAAGTAAAATTTTCGCGTCGGAAACCCACCATGCGACCGCATGGCTTTAATCCGTACGGCCGCATGGTTATGTCATGTTGTCTCAGAATTTTCTGCACACATTTGTGCGAGTACGCGAGAGTTCTACCATGCGGCCGCATGGTAGACTCTAACTTTCATTTTCTCCAATTTGGTCCCTCTACTTGAATCTTTCATTTCTTGGCATCTTTTCTTCATTCTTTCCATTCAATCATCCCAAGATATCATCAATTGGCATTTGGCTTAATCAATTTCTTGATTTTTTCATCGGGTCAACTTTTGGATAATTGCACCTTTGTCCCTGAATTTTCACTTTGCATCATTTTAGTCCTTTTTCGGTCTTTTCTCCTGAATTTCACCATGTTCATCGGTGTTTCCTACAATTCATAGATGTAATGAGATTAAGTCACAATTCAATCATTTTGCTCGTAATTAAGTCATGTTTGTGACCTAAATAAGTGTGCAAAAACACACTTATCAAACCCCTCCAAACTTGAACTATTGTTTGTCCTCAAACAAGATAGTGACTTAATTCTGAACAAACATGGTTTATTACCCTGCTGTGGCTTAGGATTAGACTAAGTATTTGACTTTATGAAAATTTATCAGTGCAAAAATGACATCAACCTTTACTTGTTAAATGCATATTTGACGTGTGTGTGTGAATTCATGCCAACATATCAGGTCATGATGAGTTTGAGTCCCGATCCCAAGTGGTTAAATGTATCCTTACTCGCTCGAGAGATAGACAACCCCCCAAACTTATTCTTTTCACTTAATTATCCCGGGGTTGTGTTTTAAAATTGGGAGTTTACTTAGCTGTAGCTCTCACTCTCTCGTAGTTTGGATTAATCTCACTATCACAAGTTTACATGTCAACAAGTGAAGGCTCTACTATGTTTGATTGCTTCGACACTCAAGATTAAACTAGGTTACTTGCCTCGTCTCAAAGGTATAGTTTTTTCAACCAAATGTTCAAGGGCTTTTCTTCATGTTATTGTCTCTCTTTTGTTTCTCTCACTTTTTTCTGATTTTTTTGATTTTTTTTTATTATTATCATCTTCTCATTTGCTTTCTATATAACCCATGTAACGAGTTTTGGGCCGGTGGCTCCCAAACCAGTTGACTTTAGGACACCAGATTTTAAATTCTTGCAGGCTTATTCACTCGAGTTATAAATGCTTGATCAGATGACTTTTTATTAACCTCTTTCCCTCTTGCTTTCTATATGACCCATGTATCGAGCTTTGAGCCGGTGACTCCCAGGCCAATTGGCCTTAGGGCACCAGATTTTGAAATATCCTTACAGGCTTATTTGCTCGAGTCATAAAGGCATGAAAAGAAGTGTCTTATTCTCACATATTAATTTTATGCCCTTTGTTGCTTTTTTAAACATTTAGTTTCCAAAACCAACCCCCAATTTAAGATTTTCACCCCACTGGTCTAGGCAGTCCACACAATAAAATTCATGCACGGAGCCCCTGCTCATCTCAATGCTCCCCTATAATAGCTCAATCATCACTAAACTGTTTTAAGGTAGTTCACGGGTTAATTCAATAGAGAGTTATCGTTCTTTTCCTATTTTCTGCTCAAAATTCAATTATTTACCTAACATGTCAAGCATGAATAGCGTGCATAGATAATGTCAAGTGTTGCATCAACAAGTATCAGTTAGTCTAATTAACACCAGATCCAAAGTTTTGCAGTTTAAACAAGTCCAATAATAACATCATAGCTAGCAAGGTTATCAAACCCACACAAGTATGCATGAAAAGAATTAAAACAAACTGAATAAAATGCAAAGAATTTTTTTTAACACTCATCATGCCTACATTATGCAATAATGGAATACAGATACTGATGAACACAGATAAAGATTTAAAATTATGTCACCCCCCAAACTTAGTTAATACATTGTCCTCAATGTAAGAGTAATGAAAGATTAAAAACATAATTTTAAGGACAAAATGAAGAAGAAAAATCAAAATGGGGTAAACAGTACTTCCCTGGATCAAAAAGGATGAGGTGGCGGGAAAATGGGTCCTGATGTACCACCATTTGACGATGGAGGGTGTTGTCCAAGGAGCTGCCACAGCATCACATTCAGCTCCTTCATCAAGGTGGACTGATGTGCCTGCTTAGCCTGGATGGCTCTCATGTTCTTCCATGTTTCATTTACTCACATTTGGATGCCGTCCACCCGGCCCACATACATGTTTAGTCGTCCATTCATGGTATCAATCTCCCGTCGCATGATTGTGGCGTCATCCCAAGCATCTCTAATGTAATTTA